GTCGCGGTCGTTGGTGTAGGTCCACAGTCAGCAGGGCTGCTTGGCCTGTTGATCCGAACACACCTTGTCCTCGGGGTTGTTCTTGCAGCGGTGTCAGAGTCTCAGCAAGTTGTGGTAAAGGAATTAACTGCGCCACTCTTGTGCCTTTTGAGACATAGAGCGGTGGAAACAAAGTTTGAGCCATGATCTGAATTTCTCCATGAAAGTCTTTGTCAATTAATCACCCCTCCTACAATGAGACATAGGAGTCCTATTAATACATTGAGTCCTTTCATGGGGGTGGAAGATTGTCCTATAAGTAATGCTCCGGTAGGTTGTCCGTGGATATAGATGGGTCCTTGGGTGCCAGTAGCAATCTTGACTGGTTTAGAGTTTATCCATGTGCAGTCTATTGCTGTTGCAAGGTCTAATCTGAGGCTGCCGCTGGTTGCGGGTCGGAGAGAGAAAGATTGTGTGTTGCTGGATAGGCGGCTGCTTTTTGTGTCGTCGCGGGGCGGTTCTTCCCGCTGGGTCGCTTGTTTCCCGAGTTGAAGCGACGACAAGCAGCATCATTGTGAGTGTCTGATCGACAATTTCTGCACCATACAGGGTTAGCCCCGCAATCTTTTCTCATGTGCCCGGCAACACCGCAACGGAAGCATCGAAGACGGGAGGGGGCGCGGCTGTTTGATCGCTGCGCTGAGGTTTGCAAAGGAGCAAGGGCTGCAAGAACCTGGTTCTGAGTAGCTTGCACTTGTTCGCGTAAGCTAACTCCGAGTTCCTTAATTGCTTCAGCTAACATAGCTTGCGGCCCTACTGGTACCTGAGCCATTCTTTCTAATCCTTCTTCAATAGTCCATGTCCCTGGTAATGTAGCTAAAATGTTACGCGTGGTTGGATTACTGTTTTGTATGGCACACTGTTTCAATATGGTACCCTTAAGATAATCGGGTACTCCTGCTGCCTGTATTGGGTTTGCGACACGATCGATAAATGTTCCAAAAGGTTCTTCCCTTCCTTGTTTAATACCCATGTAAGAGGGAATTCCTCCTGGTTCCTTAATACGATCAAGAGCTTGCCTGGCCAATCGCATTGATTCTTTTGCTTTATCTGGCCCCAGCAGTGCTTGCGCTTCGGCTCGGAAATAAGGTCTCAAACTCATCAGTTCGTGGAGAGTAACTCCATGTAATGGGTCTCCTGGTTGTCTAACTACTGCCACCGCTTCTTGACAGGCAGCCTGCCAATGGGCATTAAACAAGAGTTGCTGGTGCTGAGACAGAATTAGTTTCATTATGCTACGGATATCGCTTGGGAGTAAAACGTTAGTTCCCCAAATATAATCTAACATCTGTCGAGTGGGTTCCCCTTTTATACCTGATTCATTCACCGTGGCTCGCAATTGAGTCAATAATTTCCAGTCCAGATTAGTGAGAGACACAGTAATGTTGCCCTGGGCATCTGGCGGTGAATAAATCGCAGGAAAGGCTTCTTGAACAATGCTTGTGGCAACTTCTCGCTCGCCGTCAAGAAGGGCATTTTCTGCGATCTGTTGCCACAATCGTTGCCGTTCATTAGCTATTTTCCTTTCATTCAAAAAGGGGTTTGTGTTGTTTTTGTCTGGCGAGTGTTTGTCTTGTTCTTCCTCAGAATTTCTTTCTTCCCATAGTGGGGGGGCTGATGATTTTGGATCGCATTCAAAAGATGGTTTTTGGATCGCATTCAAAAGGCGGCGGGGGTTGACCCCATGCCTCCGTGGGGCCCTTAGGGATTGTTAGCGTCCGCACTGAGGGGGGTAAAGGACATTCACTCGCCTGATTGCTGACATTTTCCCCCTGAGAAGCAGTGGCAGAGCCAGACCCAGTGGGACCGTTTAGCCTCGCCGAGGCTGCCGCGGCGGCTTTTTGCTCTGCCCGATGTTGCAAGAGAGCATTAGAAACTGCGCGCCACGGTTTCATGAGTTTTTTTGCTGTTTTGTTATCTTCTATAACTTCCTCAA